CTGTATACATAACTGCTGCTATCAATCCAATTACATTTTTGGTTGTTTGACACTAAGAATGCTTCAGTGTAGCATTTTTCGATGCACATTCCTTAAAGACTCTCCTTCAGCCGACTCTGACCTCAGCAGATGTAAATACAGTATACTGTAGTTTGTAGTGTAGATGATGCTCAGTCATCAGCTCTTAATGCACCTTAGTCAGCCATTAATGCACCTTCAGCAAATACATCAATCTTGTAATCTAAAGCTCGCGCTATTAAGAATGTTGTTTCGCTTCACTCCTTAGTCAGTTGATTATTCATTGCTTTGCACAATGGGTGCACTGGCACACAAGTAACTGCTCTCCTGTTTCAATGGATATTTCGTACCGTATTTGGATGGTCAAAATCCAGGACACAGACCTGAAGACATTCGAGGACACTCATAAAATAAAAAGTTCATCCTTGCTAGAGTAAAGGTAAAACTTGAACTTATCAACTTTGTTGAGAGGTTGTTTTATATTTCAAAATTACTGGATGAATCAAACATATGACTATGTAATTACGATTTGTATTTTAAACACTTTCACTACATGCATAAAATAAGCTACACTGATCCAACAATTATGAGCTCTGAATAATAATAGGAATCTACGGTTTTTAATTGTTATTTAGGATGATACTGTGGTGTAGTGTTTAGAATTGCCATTTCGTAGTGCTAAGCCCCTCGGTTCAGTTCCCGGGGTTCTATCCGAGTCTGTATGTTCTCCCCGTTTCTGTTTGGCACTCCAGTTTCCTCCACAGTCCAAAGATGTATTGGTAGGTTAATAAGCTTCTGAGAAAATTGGTGCAATCACGTTTGCCCTGTGATGGAGTGCTGTCCTATCCAGGGGATATCCTGCTTTCTGCTAGTAAGCCTTGGCTCTGATGTGACCCTGAACTGGATCAAGCAGTTGGAAAATGGATGGATGGAATTACTTTGTGAAACAAGCAGTAGTGCATAACTACAAACATTAAATGCACATGCAGAATGGACCTAGGTTGGTTTTCATTGTGCAATACAATAGTGATGCCCAAGCGCTTAGAATTAGATGACATCTATATATTTTCGATGGAGTCTAGTGCACTGACACATTTTCAGGACTGAGCTGCAGTCTGTGGACATGCTTGCAGTGAAAGGCTTAGCGGTCTATTTCATTTAATAGACCAGCACTTTTCTACAAAGTAACATTGTAACCATTTACACAGCTGGGTATTTTAATGGGGCAATGCAGATGAAGTACATTCGCAAGGGTTCAACACTGATATCTCACCTGGGGTTTTAACCCACAATCTTCCAGTTACACATCAACCCTGACTAAGGACACAGATTTTTGCCCCTATTACTTTTCGCAGGGCTGAAAAGACAAGGGTAAAAAATATTTTGTGGCTCATTTTGCTTCTTCTTTTCATGTCTGCTGTTTCATGGCGACGAGGCTTAAACTAGAATTCCAGGTCACTAGGAGTGACCGGCTTGACTGAAAGTAATGCATAAAATCAGAGGTTATGCGAATATCACTAAAACATTTTTAATTGTAGAATCCAACTGAAAAAGATACAATTTATATTCACTGTTCAATCCACATATAGACAGTTCTCTGAATCTGAATGAACTGTATCGGGAGAGACGTGGAGATCTGGGACAAGTCTGACACTGAATTCCCAGTTAATTCAGAAAGAGACCTTGAAAGAGGACAGAAGAGTACCAGGTACCAAGTGAGTTGCCATGTATTTCAAAAGGGGACAAAATATACTGTGCATCTATAGTTAACTTTCAGTGGGAAGTGTGTTCATTGAAGGGAGTTGCAAAATGAGAAACGCTTCCAAACATGCCAATCAAGGCAGTGTATGTCTGGCATCCTGTACCACTGTTTTTGGTTTGTTTTGCAAAACCTTGTAATGGTTGACAAACATTTTAATAAAAGTCTCAGAGGTTACTTTTGAACATTAAAAAATGCTCTGTGTTCTGGGTAAATGCACATTCAAATACTAAATTGCACAATGTGAAATTTCAAGGTAATATGCAGGAGCTTCAAAAATGTATATTGATGCGAAATACTGGCTACTAGATGCACTGATGGGATAAAATGTGATCCTGCTTTCAATGCAGATGACAGACATCCACAGACCCCAAAGTGTAAGTCCAAATGAAAAATGTAATAAGTATGCACAGCACAAACATTTCAACATTTTTATCGGATGTTTTTGTTTTTCTGCTTTTGTGTTGAACTATTAAAAAAAAAACATTAATGTTTTCTCTTTGGAGAAAAGCTTGCGATATTTGCTATTGGACTTCTCATAAAAAATGAAAATAATACACTTTATGTGTTACACTTGAGATAGGCTTAGGCAGTCTTTAAGCTGTTTATAATGTCTTAATGTCCATCTATTTTCCAAGTCAGGGTTGTAGGGCAGCTGGAGCCAATCACAGCAAGCTATTGGCAGAAGGCAAGGCACACACTGTATGGAATGCCAGTCCATCACAAGGTAGACAGACAGACATGAACACAGACGCTCACACCAGGGCCAGTTTTCCTAGAAGCCAATTAGTCTACCTGTATGTTCTTGGACTGTGGGAGGAAACCAGAGCAACCCGAGAAAACCCATGCCAACATGGGGAAAACATATAAACTCCATGCTGATAGCACCCCAGGTCCAGAAATGAACCCAGGGCAATATCGCTACTAGGCAGCAACGTTATGCATTGTGCAACAATGTTAATATAATTTAACAAAAATAAAATATAATAGCCTTCTTCCATTGAAAATAGCTTTATAATAATAATAATAATAATAATAATAATAATAATCTTTATTTTATATAGCTCCTTTCATGATACTTTTCTCAAGGAGCTTTATATTAAAACGATAAACACAAAAGAGACAGGCATACACAAACTAATACAGCACCCTAATAGTCTTTTCTTCTACTATGAAGTGAGTTAATTTGAAAGTGATAACTTGACTTCTGAGATCTGATATGCATTGGGAAATCATTCTGGGAGCAAAAGAACAGGTTTTGCATTTCCCAAAAGGAACAGACCTTGCATTTTGTGAAGTGAAAGACAGCCAGAGTTACAGTAAGTGAACTGTCAGTGAATAGGGAGTTTGACTTCATATAAATAAATGTCTTGGTATCTCCACAGTGTTCCCAATATTCCCATAAATACTATGCTGAAAATGCTCCATTATGCATGAATAGTCTGAACAGTCAAGGGTGTGCAGAAACATGCTTCTGTTTCCTCATCTGACACTAAACTTGACAGCTTACTGAAATCTTACCACTGCCTAGTTTATTGAAGACCCGAGTCTGTGTGATTCATCCACAGTTCACTCCTGTGTCAGTTTCAGCAATTTAAATGCATATTTATGCAAGATCCTCACGAGTCTCATTTTCTGCTGCAGATTTTTTTTGTCCTGCGACAGTGACAGCCACTCGCCCTGAAAGCTTCAAGCTTTCAAATCACACACTCAATATGTGATGCCGAATCGGCTTGCAAGGGGAGTAGATCAGTTTCGCAATTTTTGCCGCTATGAAGTACCTAGTATTTTCAACATTTGAAATTGCCATCTGATGTTTTTCTGTGTATAGCATAGACTAAATTTAATGGTGAACATACTATATAAATTAAAAATATCCTATATATAAATGTACCTATACTTCAAACACACTTTAGTGACAAACACTGTACTGTACATGCATTAAAATATTTTTATATTTGGTATGGTACTGTATGTCCTGTTGCTTCATTTAAAAAAATAAATGGCACCACACTTTCATATTATATTTGGTATATTCTAATAATTTTTAAAATAAATTATCTGCTCCTTCTACATTGTTAAAGGTCAAATGTCTCTGTTTTTACCATAATTTTCAAGATGCAGGGATTCACTTCACTACTGAATTGTTATACAGCTTATAATTACCCGTTTCCTGGTCTTGTCCTTAAGGAAGGGCTTTATAATTGTATATAAAGCATGGATGTACCAAGGCTGATTGACAAAATGGATTCCTCCAAAGCGGGCAGGGAAGCTATCCTGTGGAGATGAAAGGAGACAGAAAAAGAAACAATTAATTGGTTCTTCACCAATGTGAGAATCGCTTGATTTGAGAACCAGTGCCCTGATCAGCAGTCAACAAATTTACACAAACAGGTGTGCTACTACCACATGTCAAAGGAACCCTTCTGCCTCATACTTCCACGTTGATAGAGCTAGGATATTATTCTGCGTCCAAAACAACTGATGTACTAAAGTAAAGAAACATTTTTTTAAAAGTCTAAAGCCTTTTGTTTAGTACTGCGGTTCTGTTGGGATCATCTTAGCTCATATCGTTGTCAAGAGGTTTCTCAAAGATAGAGTCTCTTTGGTGCTCTGATTAAGAGAGACGAGCGAACAGGACAAAAAAGATAATGAAACAAATACTGTTGCTGTAACAAATATTATTGAAAAAATAGCTTTCACACTTTATTTTACACCAAAAAAACAAATGAAACTGTGAGCCCGAAATCAAAATGTGCTGTACAATTCATAAAACTCATTTGTGACAATCAGTTTTAATCTTTAGCCTCTGAATAAAGTTTAAAGAAATGGGAAGTACATTCAAGACTCAAAGCAAGATGTTCTTGTGCCACAAAGTAGAAGCTGATACCCTGACTTTCTTCAAGAAACAGCTAGATGAATTTATTGTTTTGCCTGAAAAGTGTTAGATAAGCCAAGCAGTCTCCTATTTTCTTTAGTTTATTATTACATCAATAATTTTATCAAGATCTTATTTTGATAAAAAAATAAAAAAAATCTTATTTTTAATAAAAAATGTCTGTTGCCCCATCTATATAGGTTGCCTAAAGCTTGTTGGTCTAAAAAATAGGATTTTTCTTACCTAGGTTTCAGGTAAAAATATCCTAGTTTGATATGAACTATTTTGATGTAGGATAAATTCCTTATATAACAAATCTGTCGATATTAAAGTAATTTTTGATGTTCACTTTTGAAAGCCTGGCCCTACCAACCCCAGGTGAGCTCGTTCTCGGGAAGCTGCCCATAAATTATTACCATGCTAATCATACTATTATAGCCATTCTTTAACCACTATTATCACTAAGTCACTAATAATCACCCTACAATATTCATACCACTACTGTATATTGTCACAGCACTTTTACTAACCACATTCACCATTACTGTCCCCTTTCTCAATGCAACGTACTCATGACCAGCTGCCATAATAATTATATTATTATTAACTCCAGCCATCAGCCTGTGCAGCTCAGTCAGTTGATGGTCACTTACTGTACTTCAAGAGTTCAAGAGAACTCTTCAAGAGAGGTTCTTAATACTTAAACAGGGTGACTCACAGCTTCTGCTCATTAAGGCAACAATGGCAGCTGTGAACTCCACACTAGCACCAACACACTCAACACTTCATTTTTTTAAATTGTCTTAAAAATGATGATTTTTTTAATACCAGTTTTGGGGCATTAAAATGCATGCTTAGTAGTTCAGGATTTCAAATATTAACACTGTCTAGTATACAAGGGCCTGTTTGAGTCACTCCATAAACAGAGCACATTCTGTGTACGATAATAGAATAGCAGTTATTAAAATCGAAACTAAAAGGAGGAAGGATGGCTTGATGGTCTTACTATTGCTATTAATGTTATACTGGCTGGGAACTTTTACCTCACTCAATATAAGAAACTCAGTATTAAATGTTAATACATTCTACCACAAGGAAGGGCATGTCCAATACCAAATGAAAGGGGTGTATGAGAAAGCCGTTCGAACAATTAACCAATGCCATCAACTGGTTAGAAATTATTTCCTGTTATTGATGAAAGAAGATATGACCAACGTATCCATGAGACAAGTGCATGTTAACTGCCTTATAAAAACAGCTCAAGTTTTAAACACCTCACGTGCCTTCATAGTTCCAACAGTACATGCAAAGATTAGGACCAGAAAACATCAGGTTCTTTATCAGCTCACTAGTACAAATGTGCTCATGTAAAGAAACCAAAGTGCTTCCTGTAGAACTCTGACGTAATCCAAAAAAGTTATCTGCCTTGAACGTTGTCCAAGGCACAATCACAACAAATCCCATAGCACAGTATCTAACTGTATATTTTTATACTGGTAGGTTTAAAAAGAAACACTCAATTTTGGTTAATATGGGTGCATCGTATTATTGCTATTAATCATAGGATTTAAAATTCACTCAGAGTGCAGAGCTTTGAGATCTAAACAATCTCATTTTGATGAGGACTTTTTCATTTAAAGTCAGATTACTCTGAGGGCTACTGAGTATGACCTCTTAATGCAATGCTAAAAGGTATTTATGCATTCTGCATCAAAATCCCATTCTGTTATTTATTCTTAAACTATTTAAAATGCAAAATTCAAAACTACGCTCTCTCTTGACATTTAATTTCATTGACATGCATTGAAAAATAATAAAGAACTCCACTATCAGTAGGTAAACATTTCCCTAATGATCACTGCATTCCATCTAAGAAACGAGGAATATAGCCAATCTAGGTATGATCTGCAATTGTGCAAATGAACAGCTAATAGAGTATAGTTGTTTCGATAGTAGACGGCTCTCTATTGGAAATTTTACAGGTTAAGATTAGTCACTTCCCCTATTTGTTTTTCAGAAACTCTGTAGTAATAACTATCTAAGTTTCGATTACATAATGAAATAAAAAGAGAAAAGCGTGGCATTCTTTTCTTAAGTAAAGCTGTCAGCGTGTTGCTGGAAATAAAAAGGCAGAAAACTTTTGACAGAAGAACCATCTGAAGTACTAAATTAGAAATGAAAACCTATTGCTGAGAAATGTACAGAATGTTGTTTAAAAGAAATTTAACGGAGAACTGAGCATGACAAATGCAAATTTGTGCCTTTCATAATTAATGAATTTGAACACTGAAAGAATATATCTAATCTTGTTTGGTGCTTGTATTGTCAGTGAATATGGTATACAGAGCTTTCTCTCTCCATAAAGAGGCATTCTTCACTTGACTCAATATAGAAAATATTTCTGGGCAATTAACATTTGCACCAAAATTCTTAAAAATTACCCATTTAACAAATAAACACCTTTTTGATATTGAACTGCAGCTCCTCTAATAGGTGGTTCTATGCAGAAAACCTTTACGCCAGACAATGCTTCAGTGAATCTGATTTTAATTTCTGATAATGATTCCAAATACTCTCGTACAGTTTTTGATTATAAGGCCTTAGGATCTTTGTCATGAAAAAGAAGGCCCTTGCCAGTCAGTAATTAACAATCGTAGCTGTCTGTATTCTATTCTTTTATCTGTCTTTTATTACATATGAGCTGGGAGACGGTTCTGTTTGCTGTGGTCTTTGTCCTTGAGAAAGAACAAAACAAGGAGTTTCATGTCTAGATCGTGCTGCTGCAGGATTGCAAATGCAATCATACTGTATACTGTAGAAATTATATCTGTGACTTTTTTGCCTAAAAATAGATCATATCCATTAGATTTTACCCATAAAATGTCCATAAAATAAAGTCCCTGTTAAAATGACTCTTTTACTACACTCTATATTTGTACAAGCAGGAATTTATTCAGACACTCCTTTGATTCAGAGATATGGGTGTGATGCTTTTCTGTTGTTCTCATTTATTTTTATGCTCATATTGGCTAGATGGGTTTCCATACCAACAGGCAGAATCACTTCACTGGTGAAGCTAATTGCAGTCGCAAACAAATCATTTCATGGCTGTACGGTTATATGACAATCCATCTTAATTTTCCCTTAACATAATATTTCACAAGTTTCTGCTGTAATTACACAAACCGGAATTACAGCTGAGCTTCAGAAGCCCTGAAGACCTGACACAACCTATCGTATTAAACTAGATGATCAATCCATACATTGTCTAACTGCTTAATCCAACAGGCACAAGGAAGGATAAAATAATTAAACAATAATAAAATGTGCAAAAAAGTTTGTTTAGTCATAGTGAGATTTGGATCAACTCACTTGATTTTAGGACAAAGAGAACAGTCAAACAAACAAAATCTTTGTTACCTTTGTATTGGTATAGTTGAAACTAGGAATCATATAGCTAAAGTTATTTATTTTACTAAGGTTTTGCCTTATTCATAAGCTTTTAATGCATAAATAAAAGCAAACATGTTTTTCCTTTATCACAGCAGGATACATCCCCATAGATATCCACCACCAGTCAATGAAATGTTCTACTGATCACATTCCTTGCATTTCCTTATTAAAAGTAAAAAGGTCCAAAAGTTGTTGCTCATAAATGTGTCCCAGATAGTATGAGAAAAGAAAATGTTTCATAATCAGCAAAGACCAATGGAAGTTACAAGAAGTCTCAATACTGTATATGAAGATCATTAATCAAATGAAATACATATGCTTCATCAGCCTGAATGTTCCATGTTACAGTATGCTTGGTGTGAAGGTTTTTTTTTTTAGAAAAGCATTCAGGGACAATCTTGAGAATTACAGAATGCCAGTCCATGTCAAATCTAGGATATTGTTGAAATATATCTCATGGAGATGTATTTAATGAGAGAAGGTGAAATCAACTGTTAATTGTAAAGCAAGTAAAAGTAAGCCCAATAAAAGACAGAATAGCTTGGTAAGAAACTCTCTGTTATAACGAGTAGCTTATTTTTCTTTTCACAAGTTTTAATTTTGTGGGAAAACTGTAGCAAATGCCTTAATCAACAACCCTTAATCATAAAGACAATTAGGTGTCCTCCTTAATTGGAGTGGTTGACTGAACTAAAGATTGTTTTCTTGCTCATTGAAAATAAAACAGGGGAAAATATTGATTAAAATGACAAAGAAGCATGGAAAGAACTACGTGAAATAACAAATGACACTAAAAGTACCATATGAGCAGAGAAAAGCAGTGATCTCATTATGAAAGCTAAGGAGTTGAGTCTTTGTACAAGTATGTCAGGACAGACTTAATCGGTCTTTCCCAGGTAAAACGAGAGTGGGGTTTCTCACAGATCCCTTTGTGCCTTTGGACTGA